AGTCACCCTAGCTGTGTGATCTTAGGCAAGTTCCTTAACTTTTCAGTGCTACAGTTTCCTTATCTGTGAAAAGGAGATACTAATACCTACCTCATAGGGTTATTGTGAAGAGTAAATAAACTACTATATGTAAAATGCCTAGAACCGTGCCTGGCACATATAAGGTTTGTGTAAGTGCAAAGAACAATATTATTATAATTATCATTATTATCATCAAGGAATCACAGCAAAATTGAACTTTTGCTCAGGAAAGGTCTCCACTGGCCCAAATAGAAAAAGAAAGTTTCAGTACCCCCTGCAGGCCCAAATTGCCAATGACTGCTTAAACTATACTCTAAAGACTTGGACCCTGGGCTCTCAGCTTCCTCCATCCTCTGTTCTACCTTCCAGTGAGAAAAATAAATATAAACTTCCCAGGAATTAGAGACTTCTATTTTCTAGTCTCAAGGAGCTCTTCCAAAACAAAGTAAAGCTTAGAAAATTATATTCTTCAATCAATCTTTGTTCTAGTCAAACTGGCCTAGTGGTTGTCATGGCATCCTCTGCAGGGTGCTCAACAAATGCCTGTAATGATAATCTTTGATCATTAGACCCACAATGGCTTAAGTGTTCGAGGTCCATAATGATCATCTTTGCTCTTTCTGTTTTCTCTCCCCCCTTAAGTGTTATTCTAAAGGGCCTCCCCCCAGGCTCGAATTTTCCAGAAGGAGACCACAAGATCCAGTACACAGTTTATGACCGAGCAGAAAACAAGGGCACTTGCAAATTTCGAGTTAAAGTAAGAGGTAAGAATACTGCTTATTGGCTTTACCCCCTCTTTACAAGAGCAAAGGGAAGCAGGCACTCAAGCAAGCACCCTCTTTGAGCACCCACTCCATACAGGTATGCCCCAGCTTGGGTTCACCTCTGATGAAGCTGAGAAAGTGCCATCTTAATGCCTGAATTTCAACCTCAAATCCGGATGAGGTTCAGTGCTGGCAGCTTACTTAAGGAGTCTGAGAGCAATAAGCTAGTCTCACATGAGCCCACCCCTGGCTCATGAAAAATATTACTCGATAACTTTTCCATCCCTGGGCTTGGGTAACCAGCTAAAACCTGCAAGTCCTCCTATAAGGGAGGTTAGAAGCCCCTTAGGTTCGGCCATTGGACCATGTCCTTGGTGTTCTTGAACCTTTGGTCTACCTGAAAAAAGAAGTGTTTTTAAGGTTTATTTTATGCCTGATGGTTTGGACAGTGAATTACTAACTATCTTCACTGTGTACTCTTCTGTGTTCGACTTCCTCTTATAAAACACAGGGGACTAAACCAGTTGATCTCAGTGGTCTCACTGGTACGAACAGTGACCATTCCAAGGAACTCCCCCCTAGCCAGATGGGCACCCATGCTGATGTAGAAAGCTGATGACAAAGCTTGCTCAGGGTGCATGTGAGACCTCCCTTTCCCTGCTTACTCTTTGGAGGGGAACTCAGCACTGAGACCCATTTGGGCTTGTCTCCCTACAGTCAGACGCTGTGGCAAACTCAACGCCCCAGAGAACGGTTACATGAAGTGCTCCAGTGACGGGGATAATTACGGGGCCACCTGCGAGTTCTCCTGCATTGGTGGCTACGAGCTCCAGGGCAGCCCGGCCCGAGTGTGCCAGTCCAACCTGGCATGGTCTGGCACGGAGCCCACCTGTGCAGGTACGTGTGCAGCGCTCTCTGTCGCCCGCAGCAGAAGCTGAAAATCCCTTGGTTCTGGATTCCAGCACAGGGAAGAATCCCTTGGTTCTTTGAAAGATTCAGTGTCATCCCTCTTCATCCGATGGGTAAAAAATAGCTCCTGGATTCCTGCTGCAGCTCATTTCACCCACCCTCCTCCTTTGCCTCTGCCTATCTTCTGATTTCTCTTTCACCACCTCTAAGGAAGAAGCTGGATGGGAACCCAGGACCAGCCTTTAGCAACATTATGAATCAGCAAAGCTTGCTCTAGTTACACTTGTTGCTTCCTTCGACAAATGTAAGATTTTTTTGTACGAAGGCAGTCTACCAGGTGTCCAAGTCATATAATGCCTATTTTGCAGCACTGGCTTGAAAGCCATGCAGACCTTGGATATTTAGAATCCTTCCTCCTATGTCAAATGAGGAAGATAATGCCTACTATTTGAGTTGTTGAAAGAATTAAATGAGGCCATCCATTGAGCAGTGGAATAGAGCAGTGCCTGGCTCGGGGTAAGCCCTCAATACCTGTCAGCTGTTATTACTGAGGAATAAAACTTGAACTGGGTAGCAATAACAGTGTGAAATCTGGACTAGTCAGAAAATTCTTGATATATCTTTTATTTATATGCTCCTATTTTTGTCTCTTTTTCTGGTCCTTCCTCATCTTGATGATTTTCCTTTAATACCAGCCATTGAGAGTTAGATGAGAGAGAGATGTGCATCATCAGCTAAATGCCTGAGGTTCTTCAATTTCATATCTCTTTTCTTCCCTATCTCACTTCCTGGAGTTGAGAGAATAATGACCCCTCCCACCCCTTCCCTACATGTCCACATCCTAATCCCCAGAACCTGTGGATATTTTGCCTGACATGAAAAAAAGGATGTTGCGTATGTCATTAAGTTAAGGATTTTGAGGTGGGGAGAATATCCTGTATTATCCAGGGGGGCCAATGTAATCACAAGGGTCTTTCTAAGAGGGAGGCAGAACGGCTGTCAGAGCCAGAGATCAAGATGATGGAAGCAGAGGTCAGAGAGACAAGAGGTTTGAATGAGCTGTGCTGCTGGCTTTGAAGATGGAGGAAGGGCCATGAGCCAAACAATGCAGGTGGTCTCTAGATGCTACAAAAGGCACAGAAACAGATTCTCTCCTAGAACATCTGGGGGAACCCAGCCCTGCCAACACCTTGACTCTAGGCCAGTGAAACCCATTTCAAATGTCTGGTGGCCAGGACTGTGAGCCACCAAGTTCCTGGTGATTTGTCCCTAATGTACTTTCCCATTCCTCTATCAGTGCTTCTTGGGACTACCTCCCGAATAACTGTTTACAATTGAATCTTTATCTCAGGGTCCACTTCTTACATATATGGTTCTGTGTGCCATCATAGGCTATGTTAAGCCAGAACAAGTAGAGCATTTCTGACCTATCTGGCCCTTTCTGATTATAGCCATGAATATCAATGTAGGCATCAGAACAGCAGCTGCACTTCTGGATCAGTTTTATGAGAAAAGGAGACTCCTCATTGTATCTACACCCACAGCCCGAAACCTCCTCTACAGGCTGCAGTTGGGAATGCTACAGGTGAGTCCTTGGGGCAAGGACAGGAAGAGACCTCTGATAGGAAGGACCCAGTCATTTCATTAAAAGTCAAAGCCAGTTTCAATGCTTCATCCATTTGCCGTGAGCTTCAGGTACTGGTACTTTAAAGTTACCACTGTTCATTTCTGGTTCTGGGGCATAACCTGATTAACATGGACTCTTCCCCAGCACTAACCCAATCATTTTCTGACTAATGAGGTCAGTTTGTCTTCACTAATGAGCCACACCGGCATTCTGTCCAGGCCCAGCCAAAAAATAATTGTCTCTGCTGAACCTGTCCAGGATATGCCTGGGCTGGAGGTGATCAATTGTTCGCTCAAAAGTCTGGCTCAGGGAATAAGGGGAGATTCTACCTTGGGCCTCAGGTTCTACCCCCAGGGAGCTTCCCCAGCTTTCACAGAGCCCCTCAGAGAGTGACAACCATCTTTAGAACACTGGGTCTCGAAGCGTGGTCCATGGACCAGTGGCATCAGCATCACCTGGGAGCTCGCTAGAGATGCAAATGCTCAAGTCCCCATTCTGGCCCTTGGATCACAATCTACGTTTTAATTAGATTGGGTGATTCCTAAGCACCTGAAAATTTGAGGAACACTTTTCTAGGAAATGTGCTCTACTTAGCTGTGTAAATTTTGTAACTACAAAATGAAGCAACCAGTATCTTTAAGAAACAACAGCTAGATACTGAAAGGATCAAACTAGAAGTTGTTTGATTTTGTCTTTAAGCTTGTTTGCGATAGGAGTGGCCAACCTGACTGGATGCTAAAGAAGCAGGATGTACATTGGGTCATGGACACTGTGCCCCACTTTTTTTGAGGACTATTTCATTTATTACAGTGAATAGAACTAAGTGTTTAGAACAATCTTGGGTTAATCAAAAGCTACAATTTTACTTCTCACTTCAGCATTAATACAATGAATCATAAATCTTCGTTCTCCTCGCATGAGTTAAGGATTTCCCATGAACTCTGAACAACCACACAAAATTTTTCAGGCTCCTTAAATAAGAACCCAATTCATGATGTCTTTATCACCATTCCTGCCACATTACCTCCATTCTTGTATTCCCTTGTCCCAGCTAGGAGACTTGCTCTTCAGGTAACACAAGCTCACACCACTCCATTGTGTGGGAAATCGGCCTTGCAGGCTCTATTCAATGATCCTACAGTTCCTGACCTCTTCTTATTCCATAGAAAAATGATTAATCCAAACAACTTGCTTTTCCTCTATGTTGACAAACTATGACTTCTATAGGTAATTTTTTTTCAATCTTATTTTTTAATTTATCTTGTTGAAAGTATTATAAATGTCCCCTTTTTCCCCTCATTAACTCTCCCCATCCCCCTCCCCCTGTCCTTCACCACACTATTGTCTGTGTCCATGTAAAATTTTATTGGAACACAGCCACACTCGTTCATTTGTGCATTGTCTATGGCTACGTGTGCACCACATTGGCACAATTGTTTAGGACAGAGACTATCCAGCTCTGCAGAGCTTAACATATATACATTCTGGCCCTTTGCAGAAAAAGTCTGCTGACCCCTGCCCTAGTCTAGCTCATTTCCTCGGGTACCAGCAGAATTACCAATCAACAGGTTGGATAAGATATTTGGCATCAATGTGTATATGTGACCTCCCCCAACTCAATATATTTATATTGTATTTTGTATTTTAACCAGAGCCTTCAAAGGGTGGTTTGATCAACTTAGATATTTCATTTGGAATAATAGAAAGTATATTTTTACCTTTTTAAAGTTTGTTTGTTTGTTTACCAGTTCTGTCATCAATATATGGTTGTTTCAGTGGAATTGTCATTTAAAAATGGTGTTCTAATAATTCAGGAGGTTCAAATTTCTTTTCCCATTTAGGCAGATTTGTCTTATGTTATTTTTTGTTCCCTATTGCCATTGCTGCTCCTGATGAGAAACCTCCTGGCACATGATTGAATAGGCCATGTTCCTGCAGCTCTTGCCAAGGACCAGCTCAGAGAGCTGGAACTTTTTATTCTTGTTTCTCT